AATTACCTAACAATATTTTCAGAGATTAAGTTCTAAGGAATGATCAGTTTTTTGACCTTTTTAATTAGTCTTCGACATATTGGACACAACTCGTTCTCCTCATCCTTGATCCTGCAAAACAGCCCTTTAGCATTATCCTCTCACTTTTACTCGTTCAAAGGAAAATGAAACTTTTGCAGCAGATTTATACCTTAAACCACAGTCATGACATGTAACAAAATGACCACAAGGAACAAAAATGCAATTTCTTGGCTTGTCAAAGCAGATTGCACAAATCTTGACATCATGTAAATCTCCAGAAGAACTAGATGTACCAGTTTCCATGTCGTCTTCATCTGTTCCGTATGGCAATTTAACCACATTTTCTGTCATCAAAGGATCTGTCTCGGTGCTTTCTCTTGTTACCGTTGGCTCCCTTTCATCATCAGTTTCACCATTGCATTCTCCAATATATTTACACACCAGTTGTCTGAAGTTTACCTAAAATAGATGCATAGATAATGACACGAACCATGTATGCAAGCTTAATCTGCCATGCGACGAGATCTCCCTATGAACAAATTTAAATTAGTCGGATTCTGTATTCCAGTAAAGTGGCTCGACTTTCTAAAAGTTTGAAGAACGGAAGATTGGGTATTGGTAAAAACTAGATCCCATAATGTTGAACAAGCCTTTTGCTTTCGACGGAACATCAACATTCATGATCTTGAACATAATACTGGTCATGTTCCTAAACAGTAAATTCAGCTTCCCTGCCTAAACAAATGGATTCACCAGCAATCATAACTAAATAACTTATCGTCTCTCATTAGGCTAACATTTTAAAACAAGCTGGATATGTTTGCTACACGGTACTAAACAAGATTTGACATTATAATAGACAATATTTTCGATTATTTTTCTTGTTCGATAATGTCAAGTGATAGGTATTCACTCTACCAAACACGCTAACAATGTAATGGCCAATGAAACCAAGTCTTACTTTTTTGTTGCAAGTTACATACCAGATGTAGGTTCATTGAGGAGATAGGATGTGTAAGAACTTGTGGATGTTGGCACCAGTATCTCCAATTTCACGTTCCCCTACAAAAAATGCAAATTTATATGTCAATTTACAGTGAAATTCCAATTCCAAGAAGTAAAAGGTCACTTAAATATTAGATCAAACAGAGGATGTACCTATAATCAAAGAAACTTCAACTTCATTCAAATTAATTATATAAGCTTCACATGTTATATGGATTCATGAACCTTTATTCAACCACAGGGAAAATAACTAAGAAAATCGAGTGGTCCCTTTTCATCTGCTACAGTTTTCGCCTTAACACGCGCAAATTCACACACACACTACAGGATTAAAAGGTTCAAAGCTTTTTATTATACTTTCCTGCTGTTGGATTCAACAATCACATAATTCGACGTGTTACATTCCACTCAGTGTCTTAATTCAGGCTTCTCTTACTAAGCATAAAGACAAACACATTTCCTACCATGCATTCTCGCTTCACAAACACGGAAATCGTGCAACAAGCTAGGTCGAAGCAGCATATGACAATCCCCAGAATACCAGTGCTCGATACTAATCAAAACTGCAGAATGTAACAAAAACTAACAGACAAATCCATTTCACAAAAAGCAACAATTCATCACAGAAAATTAATTACTCAGCTAATTGAAAATTACACGCCGAAGATCCAGAGAGTTAAAAAACAGTTAGCAGAAGAACCCAATTCTGTATGGACATGAAAATTGATATGTGCATATCTGAAACTGCAAACGAAATTAGAAGAAATGGGAGTGGAAGCTGTGGACTAATGGGATGTTTCTGGCTGTGATTTTCTTTACTTCTTCACCTAACCGTTTCCATCTGTAGTCGTTTTAGTTGACAGTTAGATTTTGACCCTCAAACCTGGTGTTGACAAGACAATTTTTTCCAGCCAAAATAGAATTTTAGTATATTTTGATATAAGTTGATAAAATGTGTGAGTGAAAAAGTTAATAAAAATTGTGGATTCCACGATATATATATATAGTTAAAAACAAATTTGAGAAAACAAATTTAAGAAAATGGGGTCAAAGAGGAACTCAACGTGTAGGAAAGAGCATGTCTAATTATTTTTCAATGCATAATATAATGGTCGACTAACCAGTCCCATGGTCGCGTGTGGAGTGTGACATATATGGAGTATGTTAACTGAAAATATAAAAAAAGTTTTAATACATTTTAGAAATAAAGGCTAGTTTGCCCATCGGCATTTGAGATTGCTTTGTGCCAGACCCTTAAAATTGACATAGAATATGGTATAGGCATGCCTCGCTTATGCCGTAGTCTTTGACCTAATATGCCTTGGATGAAGGTCGTTACCAAATTTCGAGTGCGAGGCAATTTAAGTTTCAATTGTGGGCAAAAGTGTTAGATTGTGGTGCATGAATAAACGGGGGATGATCTGATTAATTGATGACATGATGACAATGCAAGCATTAAATCCTTCCCAAAAATATGATCTGATCAAGGGGACTATCTCTTCTTCTAATCAAATAGCGACAGGGATGCCCAAAAAGCAAAAACTTATGCACCTCTTCTTCAAAAACTTCAATTGACTGCGCATAATGAGAAGCACAAGGAACTAAATCTGTAGACTGACCTGCAAAAATAAATGATTGAAACATCGGGGCTTGAATGGTCCCCGCCAAGGAAACAATTTTGCTATATTGAAAATATAATTTTCGTTCAAGTGTGATGACCAATCAAATAGATCATCTTTACGTAAGTGATTCAAACTCTGTTCTTAATGCGTTTTGAAAATCGAGTCAAAAAGACATGCCATGCCATTAAAAATAATAATTATCATTAAAGTCTTCGAGCACATATGACGCATCAAAAGTAAGCTAACAAATGTTATGATTAAAAATAAGTTATCTTTTTATCTTAACATAAAATTTAGGAACATTGACAATAAGGGGAGGAGCTAATATAGTATGTCGAGAATTAGTAAGTCAACATCCGAATATCGATAGGAAAAATATGCCATCGAACAATGGCCTTGGTAAATAACTCGACAACCAGGGGAGTATCATGCAATTGAGGTAATGCCACAACAACATCAATGTTAAAGTCACATAAAGGTGTATGCAATAATAATTTTGGCACAAGATCAAGCACACACGAAATGTTTGGCTTAGGCGGCAACGCTAAGTAATTCCCCAACTATGTTAGTAACAAGTGTATCAACTGCATATGCGGTCATGAAAGGGAAAAAAATACATTGCTTTGAACTCTCATCCTTTGGGTAAAGCGAGGAGACAACTGTTTTATAATCATCGAAACAAACCCTTTACACTTCTATAGATTGTGACAAATAAAGTGCCCGTTTGATAGAATTTATTTGGGAATAATGAGTTATGAAATAGTATTTTCTGGAGAATGTGTGGTTAAAATGTAAGGAAACTTTATTGGTTTGTGTGTATAATATTTTATTGTATAAATGTATGGTGGAGAAATGATACAGAAGCAAACAATTTAATTTTTTAAAGGATGACAAACAGGGATAAAGTTTGATCATATCAACTTCTCAATAAGTCTGTTTACCATATTCCTTGCAACAGGAAAAAGCTCCTTGTTTTTCGTTTTCACACTCTCCAAAAGAAGGGAAAGCAAGTCGAGAGAGATTATCACTTTCTTTCAATACAATGGCTATAATTATCTCAATGGGTGAGAAGATATTATCTAGATGAGTTTTTCTTATGGCTAAAAGAAAATTTTGGAAGGTGTCAATTATCATATTTTAACAATCTATATCCAACATGATTATATAGTACCTCACATTAGCAATACTCTTTAGTATCCTAACTCTCTTAGCATTCACGTTTTTGGATTTGTTCCATTTACTATCATCAAAGTGATTTGTTATTTTTCCCCTTTCTTTTTATATGTTTTATTTGTTTCAGTTATGTANTAACTCTCTTAGCATACACGTTTTTTGGATTTGTTCCATTTACTAACATCAAAGTGATTTGTTATTTTTCCACTTTCTTTTTAAATGTTTTATTTGTTTCAGTTATGTACATAAAAAAACACACACACACACACATATATTTTTATTTATTTATTTTTATTTTAAACTTTACAATCCAAAACATCGAAATAAAAAGCTTGTTTTCAACATATTAGAAATTGATAGCTCAAGAAACTCAAGAATCAACGGATGTCCCTTCAAGTGGTCACCTCCAAAGTGGAAGAGCGCATAATTGACAGCGGGTTGTTGCAATTGAGTTTTTCTAAGCGGTTGATAATGAACATGACCAAAACTAATCATGTATCTTGCAGATAGTGGCAATATAGTTTATACATTTACATATGATTTTTGAGCTATTGTCATTCATTACTAAATATCAAAGTGTTTATACCTTTACATATGATCTCGAAATCCTAGTGTCCTTGATCTTGTTTTGAAATTTCTTTCATATTTGGCTCTTAAACTATTGATCTTGATATCTCTTGACGTTTGGCTTTAATGCTTGATTTCGATCTCGACCTTCTTCATGAGCTCGATTTGAGAATCTTGATTTTGATCTTTTAAGCTCTCATCTTGTATGATTTGACTTGAAAGCTTAACTTTCACTTAGAACTTCATTTCGAAACCGATTTATAATGTGTTGATTTCGACAATGTTTGATTGATTTTAACATNATTAATATTGTTTCTAACAATTGATTTTGAGTGATTATATTTCATTGTAAAAATCAATTGGTAGAAACAATATTAATCTTGTTCGTTATGATCAAAACATTAATGATGGAATCAATCATAGGTCAAAATATATAGATCACCGATTTATTTTCACAGGTTACAGTTCACGACCACCATTCACAAGTCACAGGTGTTATTGCATAGATCACATATCAATGTTAACATGTTACAAATCAATATTAGCTAGTCACAGATCAAACGTCACGTCTTTGTTCACTAATAACAGGTCACAAATTCATGTTCACATGCCACAGTTTATATGTTACGAGTTACATGTAATAGTTCACAAGTCATTTTGCATAGATAACATATCAATGTCTACAGGTTACAGATCCAAGAGAATTTGTCACGGACCATTGGATCAATGTCCAACGTCACAGATCTAATAGAACTGGTCACAGGCCATTGGATCAATATCACAAGTAACAGTTTACATATAATTTAAATCACACCGCAAATTTTATTTTATTTTTACAAATTTATGCTAAAATCTGATGATAAATTAAACATCTTAATCAAATTTACACTCCATCAATGGCTAGTTCTCAACGGCAGTTTAAATCCCATTGCCAAAAATCTCATTCCTTCAATCATTTTACAACCAGTCGATTGTCCAAATTGAAGTTCAATTAGATAATTCGTCAATTCTCGTCGATATTCTGTTAAATTAAAAATCTAAACAAGACACTACCCTTGAGATGTTATACTCATATATCTCGAATCGACGCCTTTATCAAGATTTATACTACTATCCTGTTGTAAGAGGGGATGTCGGCAGACGGACGGCATTGCCTGTGGCTGGACGAGTCCATAGAGAGATTGGAGTGGATTGATATATTATTATGAATATCTATTAGATATATAAATATATTGTTAGATATAATATATATTATTTATCATCCGAGTTTTAAAGTTTTTAAAATTGAATTAGGGTATAGTTAAGTCCTAACTTATATATTCTTCTCTTGAATTATTTTATTTTTTTCTTTGAGAGTTGAGGCCTTCAGGGGCAAATGGACAACAGCAAGGAATGAAAATAATAACAATATGTAAAAAATAGAACCAATCGATTGCTATTTTTTAATGAAATTAAAATCAACAATTAAACAAGATGAACTGATTGTTGCGCTTATTATTATTATTATTATTA